TCTGCTTTGAGTTTTCTCGTAATTTCTCTCTCAAATTTGAATGAAGTTTCTCACTTTCTGCCATTTTCATACAATTTAGAGCATTCCCTAAATCATGGTTTCTAATTCCTTTATGGTTTATCTCTTTAAAAGTGCAAATTACATTTCAAAATATGGTCGTCATGAATATTTTTTGACATTTAACAAATCTGGGATACCTGAGCAGTCATATATTTTACCTTTCATAAATGATGAAGAATGTATTTTTGCTTCATTGATGAAAGATGTGTGAGGTGTGCTGAGAACTAAGCATATCCTAGTAAATACCTCGGAAGTTTCAGATTCTGAAATTACTTTTTCTACAAATGCAGGGTAGGCTAATAAACTTGGTAATTTTAAATGCACCAATTCTATTTGTAGGCCTTCATTTTTATACAGTATCTGAGATTTGTGCATTTTATGAGACATTTACAAAACTGTTAAATGCATATATTCATATATATATATATATCTTTTATCGACTCTTTAGATGTCATATCATGACATATTAGTCACTTAGGTAGAGCAGTTCTTCCCATTGTCGGGTTGAAGAACTGGTATCTTTATCCTGGCTAGAACCATAGACAAATCTAGCCAGCGCCAGCCTTTTATCGAGTTAGCAGCACTCTAGTAATCGCCGGTATAGGTCGGCAGTCATAGGTCAAAGACAAATCACAAGAAGTGCTGTGACCTGGGTTTGAACCCAAGACCTCTACTTTTCAGCTTGAAGCCAGACTTCCTGCTTTTCAGACCAATGCCTTAACCACTAGGCCAACCCGGCGACCAAATCAGTCCATCAACTAATTTGCCTGAAAACCAGTATATAAAACAAGACATTGGAGAAGAAATCAAAGCTGACTTTACAAAAATTGTTAGATATCCATACCAAGAAGCATCCCTAAAAACTTCTAATCAATCCATCAAACAGTTTACCTTAAAACAAGTAGTAGACAAGACAAGACATTGGAGACAAACTTTAAGGACCCATCCTGCAGTTGTACAGGGTGAGTCAAAAAAGGTAGCCCAAACAAATGTTAATAACTCAGTCATTCAGCATGGGTTTAGTGAACAGTTTTGGACTATTAAACCTTGTTAAAAGTTCTTTCATTCTACCAAGTTTGATCTATTTCTAATGGTCACGATTCTATGGCCATTTTACAAACAAAGAATGGCGTAAAATATCAGGATCCTGTCTGGAGGCTAACTTGGGCATATTAGTTGTTCAATACATGAGCACAGACATCTTGTGTTATGGCTCTCATCTTCTTTCTAATCTGTCGTGTCAATGTTCCAAGGATTTTAGTGTAGACATTAGCCCCGCAGATAGGATTTATGTTGGATAAGTGAGGCACATTTTGGCATTCTCAGCATGTTTTATAAGTGGTCATAAAAGCTTGACCATGAGTAGAGATACACCATTGAAACTTGGTAGAAGTAAAGAACATTGAAGCAGGTTTAATTGTGTCAAATATGATTTTAAACCCATGCTAAATGACTGAGTTATTAACAAACATTTGGTTTTATTACCTTTTTGCTCACTCTGTAGATACACATATTAAGAAGCAAGCAAATGGAGGATTTTTTCCCAAAACAAAAGAAAAATCTCAATTGAATAAATGACATGTTAAGATTTTGACAAAGTTCATGGTAATATGGAAAAAATAAGTTGCATAAACACGGGGGATGAACTGGAAATTATGACAGTTTTTCAACATGCCTGGTCTTCCAGTAAAACTTTTGTTTTCTTGATTGTATCACTTTTGTCCTTCAATTTTCAACTGAACATTACATACATATGTAGTGCGTATAATCTGGTTTCAGAACATAATTACATCATAGTAATTTCACAATACATAGAAATTGTTTACAAATTAATTCCCTTGCTTAGGGAATGAAGACAATTTCTCACAGTACATTTCAATTATATTTTGCATGATACATAAACATTTTAAAGAGCAACATGGAAAGAAATACTGACATCAAGCATGCAGAAAGCAGCAATGGTAAAGTACAATGTACACTAATGAGACAATGCTGTGTGTGCTATAGAATTCCAATTGAGTTTCCCATTTCTCCCTTTTAAAATTCCTACCAGAGGTACAGTGTATGCATGATGCATAAACATTTTAAAGAGCAACACGGGAAGAAATATTATCCTCAAGCATGCAGAAAGCAGCAATGGTAAAGTACAATGTACACTAATGAGACAATGCTGTGTGTGCTATAGAATTCCAATTGAGTTTCCCATTTCTCCCTTTTAACTACCAAAATTCCTACCAGACGTATGCATAAGAACCATCATAATAATTCTGTTGAATCAAATATGAGATCCAATAATGTTGTTCTACTCAATTTAAAATTCCCTAGCTAGCTGAGCTCCGATAAAAATAATATGTTTGGAAAGGATCTTTGTACAGAATAAACCGTTCAAATTACATGGGTTAGTTACGAAGTAGTAAAATTATCCACGGTCGATGGGATCCTGGAGGCCATTAACAGAATGTAAAGTTAAGAATTCGTAAAGTCTATTGTTCTCTAACTGTGACGGGTTACAACAATTGATTTACAAATTCGTAACTTTATGAAGTTTCTGTTAATGACCCCCTGAATAACAAAATATCCGAAATACTTGTTTTTGTGTTTCAATTCAATTGCACATTTTGTGTGAATGGCAGTTACGGTGAATTTGTGATGAGATTTTATATTACAACGTAAGAGCCATTTAATAGGACCACGACTAACCAAACCTGTCTGGCCCAGTTATCTACTCCTGACGTCGTAGATCTGGGCCAGACGAGGTCCAATACAAAAAAAGGGGGATTTACTCCGGAAAAAACATGTCGCTGAATCATCACTTATTATTCATTCCCTATTAGCCATCCAACCAAAACATCGGGCTCCATGTAAACCCAAATATTTATTTGAAATAAAGAGTATATAACTTACACTTAAATGTGGTGTTTTGTTTGCTGTTATATTGATGTTGAAATGGGCACAAGATTTCGTCAATATTTTCGTCAGTTCTCCGCACCGAATAAAGTCACATGATGTGACATAACATAAGTGTGACGCGATGATTTTTTAACTTTCATGGAACGAAAATACATTTCCCCGGAACCAATACATCCCAAATATTATGATTTCTTCTGCAGATTTATTATCAAAATGTAGATTACTTTATAAAACAGACGTATCTGTGTTGTATTTAGACTTGAAATAAATATGGTGGACATTAAATACGATTTTTCAATTTATTGAACTGACCTAATGTAGTACTGAACGAAATATGCAGCCGAGACTTCTCGATATTCTACAAGATCACGAACAGATTGCAGAAGAATTTTTCTTTTTGCTGCGTTTAATCGTTTCGTTCTTATTTATTTATTAGCAGTCATCCAGCGATAGGAACCTAATATAAATACAAAGTTTGATACAAGGAACAAACACATGAGTGTTTTTTATGATGTTTATTCATTTATCAGCACGTATTGTACATTGAAAAACCAGTGTGTTTTTTCCGGAGTAAATCCCCCCTTTTTTGCATTGGACCTCGTCTGGCCCAGATCTACGAGTTCGTGAGTAGATAACTGGGCCAGACGGGTTTGGTTAGACCACGACCAGATAATTTAATCTAGTTGCTTGTGTAACTTCACCATTTACTTTTTTTGGTTATAATCGTATAAGTGTGAGGCTGAATTGAGAGTCTTAATAAACATTAGTTCTGTAAAGAAAATTGATTAAATTATTTAAGATTTGGGATGAAAAGTGCAAAAATAGTTGTTTTTATCAAGTAAGTCAAAATATTCATATACTCAGCTGTACTAGTAGTCCAACAACATTAGACCTAGCCCGGGCCTCGTTTCTTATCTGACATGTGTTATGGCCCGGCTAGGTCTAACCTCCATGACCATTTTGCCTTTGATGCGTTAATTTAATCGTTCAGGAGGTTTCGACAGGCGGAACAAATTAAACCCTGAAAACATGGCAATATTACACAAAGAATGTGATTCAAACATGCATACATACCTTATAAACACATACACCCCGTCCCGTATCCCCCTTAGACCCTATTGATGCATAATTACGAAAATATTGGAGACAGGTTTGGAAATGACGAAAATGTCGGTCAGTTTCGGTAACATCGAAATTGGAAATCGTTTCAGGAATTAACCGTCATCACGGCACTGCATTAACGAACAGTGGGTTTGCAATTAATAACTGTTTTGAGTGTATACACGCGCTATATAAATTAATCAAAGATACCTGTTATCCTCAAAATTGATCTTTTTATCCCGAGTAATCGCGATAATAATTATCAATCTATTTGACAACAATTTCGTTTCGCTGGTAGTTTAATTTTACGATCCGGGACACTCAGACGAACAGACACAATGACGGACATGCGGAATGTCACTTTAGAGATTGGTTAGTGTAGCCTCATTTTACTTGTATAAATGAACATTTAACACAAAAATATTGTGTTAAATCGCTTGATGTTATGTGTTTTTATATTATTGTCAAGTATCAGTTGCACGTTATCGCGGAAAAATGGTTTCGATGGATTCAGAACTTGCATCAAAGGAAAGAATAGTAAGGAGGTTAAACTCAATAACGGCCCCAAAAAATTCCTAATAATAAAGAACGCCGTTATTGAGTTTAACGACGTTGAACTACTGTACTAGACTAATTCCCCAAACGTCATCGATTTCAATCATTTGCATATAGCCATTCAGCGCAGCGGAAATGATGGATTTTCTTGACTTTTTGGAAAGGTGAATAAGGACACACTTTGAGAAAATTTGAAAAAAAAATTTGGCTTATCAAATTCCTTTCCATGGGGGCCATATAAATGTGTCAAATTGAATAATTTCCCCCCTTGGAATAAATCTGGTCAAAGACAACTTCACTGTCATCAATGTACATGCCTATAACTATGAAAGAAGATTATTTTGAGATGCATGAAGTTATGAAATTAGATCTACCTGATCTTGTTGCCTTGCACAGGTTCCTGATTTTTGGGGTCTTTTGGTTGAAGTTCCACTTCACTTTCGATGTTCCCATTTGCATTTCTCACCGGATTTTTAAAATTGAGCACGTAAAACATCACAACTGCCCCAACAATTACGACGGTAAAGCCGAGCTTGAATACTAGTATCATGGTTCGCTTCATATGTACTACTAATTAACCGTACTGTCATATTAAACAAGCATCACTAACAAATCGATCATTTACTTTTTTCGATTTTCCTGTGATTCACTAAGTTAGCGAACGTAAAACTCATTCGAACGAAAGAACATTGACAGTGTAGAAATCCTCACTCAATATTAGAAAAATTTAAACAAATAAGTAGATACATTGATATTCTTAGAATTTTGATTATTTTGTTATAAATCTCTAATTTCTAAGCCTTTAATGATATGATTGAATTATCATATCAATATTCATAGTACGAAATATCCTAAAGAGGAGTCTGTACTTTAATAGAAGAAGAAGAAGTCATAGGCTTGTTCGAGTTTTTAGTGCATACCCGAAAGTAAGTCCGTTGTCCTATTGTCGTAAACCTGGGGAGCGATCAAATTAATATTCATTGTATATTTCATAATAATTATTATAGTGCAATGTTTTATCTACTGAATTAATACTTAGGAATATTCTCGATGTTAAGGTGCTATGGAAGTTAACAGGAAATGACAAAACAGGAAGTGACAGAATTTTTTGCATTTCTAGACATTTTTTGAACAAAGATAACAGAGTTCTGGTTTGGCCTCCAGTCAATTTAACTATTTCCACATATCATTTACATGACCAGGATCACAATGTGCATGGTCAGAATGACCCTAAACATGATGAAATAACCTGTTCAGCCCTTCGAAAGTGTGACTGAAAAAAGCTAAAAGTAGGAGCTTAGGGAAGGTCACTAAACAGAATCTTTTGAATTTTTTAGAAAATGTGCCCAATTTAATGCTCTAAATGATACAATCTTTGAAAATTTAGAAAATTGTCTGAAACAAAAATGGCGGTCATAAAAAGGAAAATAGATCGCTTTTCAAATCAGTTTTTTCATTTTTTTTCTTTTTCTATAAATAATATTAAATTTTCAAAGATTGTATCATTTAGGGCAATATATTAGGCACATTTTCTGAAAAAATCAAAACATTCTGTTCCGTGACTTTTTCCTACCTCCTACTTTTAGCTATTTTTCAGTCACATTTTCATAGGGCTGAAAAGGTTATTTCATCATGTTTAGGGTCATTCTGACCATGAACATTGTGATCCTGGACCTGTAAATGGTATTTGGAACTAGTTGAATTGACTGTAGGTCAAAACAGAACTCTGTTATCTTTGTTCAAAAAGTGTCAAAAAATGCAAAAAATGTTGTCACTTCCTGTTTTGTCATTTCCTGTTAACTTCCATAGCACCTTAATGCATACCTATTACCTTTTTTGAGTTGAAATTGATCTTATACAATAAATATTAATATTTCCATTCCACAAGATCACATTCAGAAATTGGACATCCAGTGATAACCCAAGTCTAGCAACTTGCAGGAGGAAAAATATTTGTAGTGAGTATTTTGTATTATTTAGCGGGAAGTACTCAAAGTACATGTAAATATGCGAACTATATATTGTGTATGGAACAAAATCATTTCTGATTCATGACTTTGTTAAACTTGGAGACTCTGCTTTCCTACCAAAGGCTAGTCTGCAGTCCATGATTCTAATAATTTTTCTGCATCATGCATTTTCAAATTCAATCAAATCACAGATAGGCCTAGTACCTATTGGGAAGTTCTACTACATGCTGATTATGTCCATCAGATTATGAAAGTGAAATTACTAGTGTTGTCGCGATGTGCCATAATCGTACATCGGCAATTTTCAGTAGTACTACTTTTTGCAAGGCCTGACTTCGTCGCTAACATGCTAAATATAAGAGTTAGCTGACGTTTGGGAGTCTGACTTACCTTGTAAAGGTTAGAGCCCGAATCTTAATGAAACCATATCACCTTTGTTGCGTCGATGATGATGCATAAACATAGCATTTGATAAAAATTAGTGTAAATGCTTTTCCGACTTTTTCATTTTTCATCAAGGTTGACTTTCGGGAAGGCGTTGTAGTTATCACGAAATAACGCATTGACCCTTGAACTTTACTTTGTTGACGTGTCAACCAAGCATGTCTGGTGTGAAAATTAAAAGAATATTAAGCAATGTTCTACATCCGCCAAACTAAGTGAAGTAGCCAATATAAAATTACCAATTTCGAGTGAAGTACGCAACGAACGAAACTGCGTGATCTACAGTCCCACTATTTGTCTGAACGAAATGCTACGTAGAAATATGAGCCGTCTGCTGTATTAGTCGATTAATAGAGTAAGACCTGTTGGTGATGCTTTATAATTTAGACCAAAACATGGATGAACATACGAACCTGTAAATCGTGAAAACAACGAACAAATATTCGGTTTTCATATATGTTCGGTAATTTTTCGTATTGAAACTTCTGGAACTTACAAGGAAATCATTCATTTTCTCGGTCCATGATTTACCTCTTGGATGTTGTGGCAAATGCTCCATGGTTGACGGAACAAAGGTGATATGGTTTCATTAAGATTCGGGTTCTAACCTTTAGAAGGTAAGTCAGACTCCCAAACATCAGCTAACTCTTATATTTAGCATGTTAGCGACGAAGTCAGGCCTTGCAAAAAGTAGTAAACATCGATGCACATCGCGATGTACATCGAGAAAAAGTTCAAGAAAAGTGCACTGAAATACCGAATGCTAATGGACTAAAATACCGAACAGAACAAATTAATAAGAGTACGCTGGTACATCCGGGAACTTCTAGTAACGGTGAAATGAAAGTAAAGTACATTTTACAAAAAAAATCTTCTCACCAGTCTTTTCTAGGCACATAAGTGCACTCTTTGTGCAAAACTGGAAGGTATAGACAATGTGGCGAAGGAGTGATTCCTGTTTGAAAAATAACATGTGACTCAATTGAGGAATTCTGCAGAAAATTCTGAACATGCACCCTAGCTGTAAGACTGCCATGATGCATATTATTTTTTTGAAAAATTTCAATATTTTTTTCTGAAATTACTTTTGTGATATTGTGATCCTTGAATCAAATCTTAGCTCAAAATATACGATTTGACAGTGAATGCAGCCTGTCACTCGGTTCGGAAAGTCTCAATATGAAAAATCACCGAACACATGTGAAATTTGGTTCTCAGTTCATAGATTCCTTTTCAAGGAACACAAAACGGAAGGAGTTACTCCACTAAAAACAATAAAAAAGCATCATTTTAAGGTGCCATGAAAATTAACAAGAAATGAGAAAACAAAAAGTGACAAAACCATGATGGATTTTGAAATTTTTTTGAACCAAGATAACAGAGTTCTGTTTGGACCTCCACTCATTTAGAGCAATATATTGGACACATTTTCTGAAAAAATCAAAAGATTCTGTTCATTGACCTTTCCTGAGCACCTACTTTTAGCTATTTTTCAGTCACATTTTCAGAGTGCTGAAAAGGTTATTTCATCATGTTGATGGTCATTCTGACCATTTCCATTGTGTTCCTGGTCATGTAAATGATATGTTGAACTAGTTAAACTGACTGGAGGTCCAAACATAACTGTTATCTTGGTTCAAAAGATTTTCAAAATCAAGCATGGTTTTGTCATTTTTTGTTTTGTCATTTCCTGTTAACTTCCATGGCACCTTAACAAATCAGCGATTACAGATCATATTCTCCAAGAAAACTACCAAATTGATTGGGACAACTATAAAATAGTTAGCACAGAAAGAAACAGAAACAATAGGTTGATAAGAGAAGCCATACACGAAAACATATACACTGCAATGGAGACATGGGCAACTGCAATTTAGCCCAAATGTGGGATAAAGTTATATTGCCATAGTTATAAATAATTTTGACATTGATTAAGGTTCAATGATGCAATAAGTAATTTTACCTGGATGTGTTTCAACTGTTTTTTAAAAAAAAATTATAAAATGTTAATAGAGTAATTGGTTTCAGATATATATATGTCTTTGTGAATTTTTGGAACAATTGAGAATTTAAGTAAGAATAGTAGATATGATGTGTCACCACCAAAAAGTGGTGACATATTGTTATGGTCTCTGTAACAAATTCTTAATTTTCAATAACTTAACAAATACTGTTTAGACTGACTTAAATTTTTTCCAAAAGCATCTACATGTTTTCAGATGTTCAAATCTGACTTTATATTTAAGATTTGTCCTTCAATGACCTTTTCAAGGTCAAAAAAAGTCAAAAATGTCTTTTTTCAACTTGCTTCAAATTGACCAATTTTCTTTTTCAAATCATCTACAAGTTATCAGAAGTTCAAATCTGACTATAAATTTGTTCTTCAATGACATTCTCAAGGTCAAAAAAGATTTGACGTTCAATGGCATTCTCAAGGTCATAAAGGTATTTTTCATCTTGCTTCAAATTGACCAATTCTCAGAAATTCAAATCTGACTTGGGTGGTGACATTTTCTCATGTTAATGTCTTATATTCGTGAATGTAACTAACGGCTAGCAGCTACCAGATTAACTTACTCTTTTATGACCAACTCATTTAGATATGAATAGAATAGTGGCAGGTTCTATTCATATTTAAATGAGTTGCCCATAAAATAGGAGGTTGATCTGGTAGCTGACAGGGGTTAGTTGCATTCACAAGCTCAGACTTGAAATAAGAGTCAGTAGTCATTTATCACAGTCAATTGCAGTTTGATTTAGGCAAGCTTAAATCAGATTCTTGGTACCTATTCATTTTCTAACTTATACAATTGTAATTTTTGAAAAAGCTCAATTTTGGCATTTCAAGAATTGAATAATGTCACAAGTCATATGATTGCATTATTATCAGATGACAGATATTGTCACACTACTACACTGACTTGGTAAAATGAAATCTCCCATATCGATAAAGCAACTAGATTTTCTGTTAGAACTTACGTTCCACTTCTCTGGAACAACCTTGATAATGAAATAAAAAATGAATGTCTATTAAATTTTGAAATATACTCCTCAAAAAAAGTTAAGGACCTCATAGGTTTACATGTTAAACCCCATATTTGTTTAACGACTGTTTTCTAAGCGGGGAACAAAAGAATTCCCAATAAAGAAAATAAATCTGTATCTTGATTCTATTCACTATAAAGTCCGCAACGTTTCAATGTTATATCTCCATTACATTGGGTCAAAATTTGATGTCAAAATTGATGAATTTCATGAAATTTAACAAAAATGGCAGATCCCATGTTAAACAAATGGGGAATGGTTGGGTTGCCATAAGTCATATGAGGAACGATCCATCCATCCAATTGCTCTCAAAATTGAGATTGTAAGAGATAATAAATTTGCAAAATTGTCTACTCGACAAAAATATGATTTAATTGTCCAGGCTTTACAAAAGTTAATGGTTTCAAATTCAATAATTTTTTCTCTTATTGAAATAACACAGGTGGTTCAGTGAGGTGGTCAAAATTACTTTAACGCTCCGTATCGCTAATTTTAACAACATAAGCGAGACATTTAGCATGTAAAATGTAAAATCATTCAATTTTCTACTTAGAAAGTATTTTTAATAAATGTTTTGCTGAATAGATATTCCAAAATCTGAGTTGCCCCAAAGCCACCATTCCCCATTTGTTTAACATGGGATCTGCCATTTTTGTTACATTTCATGAAATTCATCAATTTTGACATCAAATTTTGACCCAATGTAATGGAGATATAACATTGAAACGTTGCGGACTTTATAGGGAATAGAATCAAGATACAGATTTATTTTCTTCATTGGGATTTCTTTTGTTCCCCGCTTAGAAAACAGTCGTTAAACAAATATGGGGGTTAACATGTAAACCTATGAGGTCCTTAACTTTTTTTGAGGAGTATATATAAAAATGCTAAATCTTGAAAATTTCAATGAGAATGGTTGTTCCTTTGCAAATATAGAGTAAAAACACAATTACGTCATTGAACCTGTCCGGGGTACTATCATTGTATATGTAGCCCCAGTGGTATAGCCAGGATGAAAATAGTGACAAGGCAAAGAATATTCAAAATGGCAGCTATGTAATTCAGTCAACAATATGAATGTAAATTATTTGTCAGAAATATGAATGTAAAGTATGCATAGGTAAAACACCATTATAATTCAAATTTACTTTGACGATGGCAATACAAGAACACAGTGATAACCATTTTGAGATGAGACTATGCACAGTTGAATGAAAAAAAATCATTTAATTTGAAATCGATAAAAGTTAAATAATTTATTTACAACTTCATTGATAGAAGAATATTTCTCAAAGGATGTTAAAGCGACAAGGCAAGTGCCTCGTCTGTCGCATCCTGGCTATGCTACACGACCTTTGAAATATGTGTTCTCTACTTTAACGGCATATCATTTAACAATGTACAAAACTATGTAAATATAACTAGTTTCTTCTTTAATGTAAATACAGCTTTTATGTTTACTAGATGAGTTTTATTCAAAACTCTTAACATTTATACTAGTTAAATCGATTTTTTGCTCATGTCAAGGTTACCTCAAAATATTTATTTATCTTTGTACATCTCACCTTTATTTTTCATTTTTTGCATATTTTTTCATTTATTTATTAGTTATGTTTTAATGTTGAGAATGAGCTCAATTAATATTAAATCATACATATTGACCTGAAAATATCATGATATCGCTGCATTTGATGGTTTTTTACCATTCAACTTATTCATAATTGTTGAAGGTTGAGGTGGCCGAGCAGGATGGCGCATCAGTTAGCAGTAAATGGTGACATTACAGTGACGAGCACCATGGAGGAAGAGCAGACGGCTCACGATTGGGAGGCGGAGAAGAGAGAAGCACGGGGCACTGGTGGACTGTTTGATGATGGTACCATGAGTTTCTTCTGGTAAGTTCAGTTAATATATTGAATATTACCTGTTAATATATTGAATATTACCTGTTAATATATTGAATATTACCTGTTAATATATTGAATATTACCTGTTAATATATTGAATATTACCTGTTAATATATTGAATATTACCTGTTAATATATTGAATATTACCTGTTAATATATTGAATATTACCTGTTAATATATTGAATATTACCTGTTAATATATTGAATATTACCTGTTAATATATTGAATATTACCTGTTAATATATTGAATATTACCTGTTAATATATTGAATATTACCTGTCAGGATAGCTCAAATTGTAAGGTGTTGTCATTTTTGGAGGGTATAAGGAAAACAAAAAAGCTCTTTCCTTAAAGTCCCCGTCTAAAGTTTGAAAATATTTTTTTATCATTCATTTACTATTTGTCAGGACTTAAAAAGTGATTTTAGAGATTTTTGAACAAAAAATTTTTTTGGAAAAAAAAGTTGAGCATTTTATTTCTCAAATATTCAAATTTCCCGCCATTTTTCAAAAAAAGTTGAAATTTCTTAATCATCAAATATTTCTTAATGCATTTCAAAAAAGATTATATTTTTAACACCAATGAAAAGATTGAACAAAAGACACACTATTTCAATAATAAAAAGTCATGTTTAATGGGCCACTTCAATGTTTTAGCTTATAAAATATTTTGAAACATTAGTGATGTCACTAATGTAACAAAAACTTTTTGAAAAAAATTGAATTTTTTTTTCGATGTCAATATTTTCTAAATATGCTAGACTTTCATAAAAAACCAATGTTGATTGTCTAACCAGGTTAAAAGGAAGAATAAATTATGTTTTAGATATCATTGTACCATTGGTTTCTATGAGAACTAAAATTTTGAAATGCATTTTTCTCAGAACCATTTTCATGCACTGATAAGTTCATTTCTCGCTTGTTTATCAACCGATTTTCTTAATTTTTTCGGCAAAAAACATGGGAGGATGTATGCTATGCATTGGTATGAATTGTGGCTAATTAGAAGATATGAGTGACCTCTAAAAGTTGGTTTTAAATAAATTCACAAATTTTGGAACAAAAAGTCTATCAAAAACCACTTTTTGAAATTAAAAAAAAAAGTTTCACATATCACACTTTGATAACATTGGGTAAGACTACAATATAAGCCAAAGTGGTTTAAACTTTACATGGGGCCTTTAAGGACTTCAGAAAAAACAATGCTAAACATAGGATGTTATAACTTAAAGGAGACTCAGTAGACTTCATTTTTTCAATGTGGATATATAGGTAAACCCCTCTTTTTATCCAGGTGTAGGTAGATTCTATTTTTGTCCAGGAGAAGATAGGTAGAAAAATGTCAACTACTAGTATAGTCTTTATACAAATGCCTGTGATCCCCCTCCCACTACTTGGTTACACACCTTCTCACACAGGGGAGGTGTATAGTTGGGGGGGGGGGGGGTGCTAGAGTACAGCGAGCTAACTCTATTGAAACCTATTATGAAAGGAAAAATAATTTGGCCTTTTTAGATAAGAATTAATTTCTGTGCCTGGGTTTTGTAAGGCAACAGGCTACTCTAACTCTAATCATTGTAAATAATGTGTTATATTACAGGAGATAACGATATGCAATCAACAAATAATTGCGATTGAATAAACACATGGTGATAATTTGATTCTATGAGATTGGTATGACTGTGGTAATATGAAGTCGATTTAATCAGAAAATATTTATCAATTTATTATGGCGTCATATGAAGCAGTTATATAGTCCTTGGTGTTTTACAGCATTACTTTCTAATTTCTAAATTTGAATGAAATCACTCTGCATACAGGACTGCTATCGATTGGAACTGCCATGTTTTTCCATGCTTGTCTTTTTGTTTCTTGTTCATTTCAATTTGCCATTTTTCAATTAATTACTGCATACATACGTGAAGATGTTTTGTGAGATCTCAGTATTATGCATATAATTGTAAACTGAAGGCTTTTGATTAGGCTGTTGAGATTGAGAACTCTCACAATTTACGTGGATGTGACTAAGCAAAGGCCTAGTTGTGATAAGGAGAGGAGTTGTTTATTTTAAGCTGTTAGTAATCCTCATGTCATTCTGATACTCATAGCATCTTTCTGTTTCACCTGAAACATGCTCTGATATTATGAGGCATATTCAGTGATCTGAGCACATCAGATGGGAAGAAATTAGATGTCATGGTTTATCATGATGTCCTCATGTTGGGATTGTAGTTTCTTGGATGATATTCCTGGGTCAGTACCATTAATTAGCTCTTTAACTCAATATCCCACCCCTTGCTCACATATCCTTAGATCATTGGAAATTACTCTTCCCTCTAACTATGAGCGCTACAGGGTCACATTGGTATGTTCACTTATTTTGAAATCCCATCAAATTGTGGCTTTGCAACAAGTAGGTGTGATTAACAGGTTTATAGATTTAGCATTAAGATAAAGAGTGTGAGGCGCCTTGATTACCATTAATATATATAGAGCAGTAATCCAGTGATTTCCCCAGCATTAAAGCAAGTGGGTGCAGTACCCACCAAAGATTTTAAAAACAGGCTTGCCCCCATCTGAAAATCCATTAGCACACACTTGAAAATAAATGAGAAAAATCGTGAAAATAGGCAAAATTTGACCAATTTTGGTCTGAATTGTGAAAATGAGATTTTTGCACGTACTTGAGGTAATATCTTGTGGAGAACACTGAAAACGAGTGTGAGCCACTCTTGCAAAGAGTACTGATTAGAAGTAAATTACCTGCCTTTCATCTTATAATTGTTGGCCTCCTCAACCCTTGATCAAATGATTGATTCATGACACACTATGACATTAATGATGAGGTCATAGAATAGAACGATATGTTATACTATACCTACGATTACCTTTATTATTTGCTCTCAACATTTGCACCTTGCGTGACAGTGCCTGTGTCCTATAAATTCTCTTCGATCATGTCATTTCCCCATCTAAAATTATCTTTAATATTTGATTGAAAAACCTGATTTTTTTTATTTTCATCTGTTCAGAATATTCACTACATGTCTGTTTAATTTATTCCTTTCTAATTCCTCCCCATTTCACTCTTTTTACATTTTAAAACAAGACTTCAGTGAAATTTCTCTCACAGGAGTAGCTCGCACTCTGACACCCATAAATATTTAACTGTTTTATGTTTTATATCCTCTAGTCCAAAGTTGGTCTCATCAATTTTTCATTTATTTGTTTATTTATTTATTCACTTTGATTCAGGGGTCCATGTTTAGAACTGTCGCAACTTATGATTTGGGCAAGTCATTAGCCATTTCATAAGTAAGGATCATACCAAAATCATATTCTGACCCCAGGGTAAGAGTGACATGACAATATATTCAACAATAGATTTCGTACTGTATATTTGTATATGATGATACAGTGTATATATGATGACGTATGTGATCTGATGAAATGTTTATTAGCATTTAGCAATCTGATGCAACTTATTTCTCATTATGGCACATCACCTCATGGTATGACTTCATTAATGGGTCATCTCATGAACTGGCTTCGTTGAGGGGTCATGTCATGAACTAGCTTCATTGAGGGGCCATCACCTGATGATATGACTTCATGAAGGGGTCATCTCTTGAACTAGTTTAATTGAGGGGTCTTCTCATGAACTAGCTTCATTGAGGGGTTATCTCATAAACTAGCTTCATCAAGGGGTCATCTCATTATCTGATTTCATTGAGGGGTCATTGCATTATAACATGACTTATTTAGACTTCATCTTAGTTGATTGAAGGGACCATCTCATGCTATGGAGTCATTATTTCATTCTTCAAACACTATATAATTTGTTGAATAAATTCTGTAACCCTATGATAGTCATGAATTTAGTCTCTGCTCTTTGTTCCTCTTGTCAATTTAAGGAATAGAAAAGGATAGGGGACTTTGTAAAAGCATGCTGAGCGAGAATGAGATATAACTGGGAAACAGTTCTTCAAATTTAAGGTGCAAATATACGTGTGTAAACCTTGCTTTCAAATGTATTGTGTATTTTGTAAGAGCAGTATTTAAATTAGCATGGAATCCACGACAGAAACCCTTTTTGTGTCAAAATTTTAATTTTTTTATCAATCTCTTGAAAATTTGGAGTCCTTAAAATATTGACAGTTGAGGGATCGAGCTTATTCTTTTTAAAAATGTTACATGCGTAGCTCAATGATTTCAATGTGACTAATAAGCTGGGTTTTGATGATAGGTATTACAGCTGCTGAGAATCAAACTAATTCCAATATGGCATCATTAGATAGCAATGTTACAGGTGGCTTAAAATCAAAGTGCCTTCTGAAATACGTCTCAATCTAGCACGGCATGATTGCTTAAAAGGTACTATTTTCGACACTTTGATTTAAATGCTTAATCCACATAATGCTCGATTCAGTACCTCATGTAATCACCCTATGCAGACAGAGCCTGTGGGAAATATTGGGTGGGGAGCAAATGAGCGGAGGGTGCGGAGCTAACGGTCATTTTTGAATTTAAATTTGGGATATTTCTGGAACTAAGCCGTTTTGGGACTTCAAATATACCAAGATATGTGTATTTGACACCAAATATCAATACAATTGTGAAAATAGTAGCGCAATTCATTCTATAGCGACGCAGTGTGCCTTAAACCTTTCCCAGACCTATATATTTTGAAATTATCCTTTTAATACTGAGTCCCCAGCATTCATAAAAAATGGTGTTCAAGGTACACTATCTATACAAATTATTTTTGCATCTTGGAAGCCAGGCAGTATCAGTGTGATTTTATAAAAATTCGGAATTGTTTTTCAGATATGAGCCCCCTCTAAATATTGGGTGCGGAGCAGCTCCATAAACGTAGCTCCGCACCCAATATTTAGAGGGGGCTCATATCTGAAGAACATTTCCGAATTTTTATAAAATCACACAGATACTGCCTGGCTTCCAAGATGCAAAAATAATTTGCATGGGTAGTGTATCTTGAACACCATTTTTTATGAATGCTGGGGACGCAGTATTAAAAGGATAGTCTCAAAATATATAGGTCTGGGAAATGTTTAAGGCATACTGCGTCGCTATAAAATGAATTGCACTACTATTTTCACAATTTTATTGATATTTGGTGTCAAATACACATATCTTGGTATATTTGAAGTCCCAAAACGGCTTAGTTTCAGAAATACCCCAATTTCAAATTCAAAAATGACCGTTAGCTCCGCACCCTCCGCTCATTTGCGCCGCACCCAATATTTCCCACAGGCTCTGTCTGCATAGGGTGGTAATAGGAGGTTAAGCTAGTCTTTCGCAAGCTGATGCCAATATGAGATAAAATTTCATTATACAATGTTGTATTGAAAGGCTAATGTCCTAATCTCAACTTAAGGATGCAGTACCAGGTCAGCATAGAATAAGTTCCAGACATTAGATTTTGCTCATATTTTTTACAATGTATCACTATGATGTTATCATCATCCAAGTGCAATATGAAGAGAATTGACCCTCTGGTAATTACAAAATAAAAAAGTTATTTTACCCACCCAAAATGAATCTTTTTACTTTTTTGAGTTTTCAATAGAGCTGGCACCTTTCGAACCCTGGTTTTCGTATCCACTAATTGCGACTCAAGAACAAGTTTTCCCACAAATGTGAAAGGGATAAAATATGCTTGATAAAATGTTTGCAATTTAATTCTTTTCTGGAAACATCATTATCGAAATAAACTATAATTTTTGAATAAGACTAAATGCGAAAATGACGTTCTTGGGAGCTAGCTTTCTCAAACCGGAAGTCAAACCTGCGCAAACAGACGTGAAAACCGACCCGGTACTGCATCCTTAATACCCTCATATGATGTCCAATACTCTCTACACCATTCTGATACTCATAGCACCTTTCTGTTTCACTTGAAACATCTCAGGGCTGAGAAGAAAATCATGATGCTCTATCCAGTCTGACTTTCAATCATGAAAACGTCATACCATAGAAATCTAATATGACAAAGCCCTCCGGTATAACAGATATATCCTATCAATGCTGATTTAATTATCTATTTGATAATATTTCACGACTCGTAATAATTAGTTTCCGTCGTGCTATTGTCCCTGGAAGGACTGTCATTATTAGATTTCACACTAATATCTATAAGTCTAAATCAATTTGCAGCAAAGCAAGTATTCCATTAAGATCCTACACTGCCCCCCCCCCCCTCCTCCCCCTCAATCCCTGTTATAGAGAGGAATCAGGGAAATTTCCTGACCTCTCGTACACAGTCCCTGGGGGTCATGCCAAAAAAACATTGAACATATATCAAAATTCCAAACAGAAATACTCATTTGTTTAGTTAGAAAAGAATCCTCAAAGTGGGTCACTTTGAAAAATATTTTACATCTAAATTATTTTTTAATATACATCTTTCAATCAAATTTAAAGAACCAAGAGCTGTTGGGAACCAACAAGGGGGGGGGGGGGCAAATTTCAGTTCAGAGAAAAAACTTTGGGCCCCCAAAACCTATAAGGCCTTTAAAGGCCTAGTAATGACCAAAAAGGCCCACTTTTTGGAGCCTTTTTTGGCTCAAAATCTTTTTGGGCCCCCAGCCCCCCCCCCCAGATCCGCCAGTGATAAGGTAGTTGTGTATCACATTTTTGGAGCTCTCACTTTTCTATTTCAATTCCTTGTGGTAAGGTTTGTATGACAGGGGTGAGTGAAAAGGGCTTTATGCAAGATTAATCTTCCAGGAATATACTGACATAACACATTGAATTCAGGTTATGTTGGTTTAGAATACCTGTGCTATTCCCTGTCTTATTGCTATTAAATCAATGTGATTGTTGGTTGTTTACCTTTAATTGGCAGGTTAAAGAATGTGGACTAGAGTACATGAGCACCTAAGTATGGTATCTGGTCAACTCGTACCCTTGTTAACTCAGACCTCAGTCAACTCAGACCTTAATAAACTTGAACCCTGGTCAACTTGGACTAGGGTCCGAGTTGAATAGGGTCCGATTCAGCTAGGGTCCGAGTTGACTTAGGAACCTATCTTATTGGTTGTTTAATTTGTTTATCAGTATGGTCCGATGACCAAAGGAACTCCATAAATGGCAGCTCTGGAAATTCTATAAGAAAATAAGAACCAGCTTTGAATCTGACTGGCTGCCTGGCTCATGGCGTGTTCCCAGTTTGCCAACGCTCATTTGCTTGTGTCGCTTGGCAGGGTTTTCCCTTGATTGCCGCGATCGGATATAATTATGTTCAATTCTGACAGTTGGTTGTTCTGTTGATTTTCTCAATATATCAGCAATACTATACCCATAAATTGGTCTTCAGATATATCTAAGTTATGTATTATAAGCAATTATAATTGGACATCACTGATCGTCCAGAAGAGAAACCCATGGCACACTGTATCTTTAAGCATAGTGTAAACTGTCCTTTCGAGGATCATCTTTCAAATAATAATGTCAAACCAAAAATTTGATAAGTCTATAGCCTGATGTGTTCTTTGCTTTCCAAGGTTAATTTGAAATCGATTCGCTCTACATTTTGATACTGTAGATTGGGTTAATTTGGCGCTACTTAATTTGGCGATTTTGCCATTTTTGGCATATTGGCGGCTATTTAATTTGGCGGACATGGACATTTTTTTTAATTAACCTACGCGCTATTAGCGAATTACCATGTAAATGGGCATGTTTGGCTATGTTCATTTTTTCTCTTGGGGACCACTGGCGATATTCACCACGTTTGTACATTTTTGTGAGATCATCCTTTACATTTTGCACCTCGATCGATGCTGCTACTATACCGTGCTTTTCCTTTCTATTTTTCCCTTAGTATGAATGAGTGAATGACCAGTTCTGATCCAATTTATGACAGACATTTTTTCATATTTTTGGAAAAAAACTAAACGAAAGTGACCTAAATACACTGGACGAAATACCCTAGAATATTCCCGGGGATTCATCCTAAATTTTGGCGAAGATTTATATTGGCGAATTTTTTAATTTCGCCAAATTCGCCAAATTAAAGCGGGCGCCAAATTAACCCAATCTACAGTACTCAACACATCTCTGTTCTTACATTGGGTAATCTCTTATAGAAACTGTCATGGTGCTCTCTCAGTGGTGAAGTAAAGCCCCTATACTCCTATAGATTGATTGCTTGTTTAATGGAAATTATCTTTGAAGTAAAGACCAATCAAGCTTTTTCTTTTGCTCTAAAATGCAAAGGACATGTCAAAATCAAAGACATTCCTTAAAATTCTAATCAGGCCAGTAGAACGGAGGTCTGATATATATGTTTAACATACACAAAAGGAAAAGGACAAATGAGGTCCCATAATAAGGATTATTACTCCACATTTTCAGATTCACTTATTCCCAAAGTGGAATTTGGGGTAAAAATGGTTAAATAGATGCAAGGAATAAGTTCTTACCAGGAAGGTCTTGGATCTGGTAACCACTGCTAAACTGACTTTTAATATGCCAGGGCCTAACTTTTCATTTTATATACTCAATCTCTTGATAAAAAGCAAGTGATCCTCAACAATAGATTGTTTATATTGATTTGATTGTACTTGCTGTCTTGCTACCTGCAGCTCTTTGTCATAAATATTCTATATTTGAATGTGTATTTGAAAACCATACTTTTCCTCGCATTGCCTCACAAATTCCCCCACAAAAATTACGATGAATGGGTGGGGGGGGGGAATCATGTCTTCTAAAGTCAAAAGTCAAAATTGTATATAAAAACATCTTTTGAAAATATAAGTAGTCAATTATAAAAGGTTATAGCATTAGAGACTAGAGTCGATATTACTTGCCTGGTTTATGCAAATATGTACACATTTTATTTTAATTGTGCTAGTATTTTTTTATCAATTCAGCTTCTATAAATTACATTTTGCACAGTTGCCCTGGAGAATTTTATGCCAGAATGAAATGTTTTTATAACAATTGAAAAGTGCTATGCATTATTTTGTATTCATGGTATATTTGCTGGTATATAGCACAATCAAGATAGCAAGGACCATTCATGGGTTTAACTTGAATTTTCCACGAGAGAAAACTAAGTGCCAAGACTTAATTACAATTTAAGCATGTTAGGGTATTTACAAAATAGGTAATTTTCTCCTTGGTTGTGATATTTATCACTGTTTTTGTTTTTTTGCAGGCGTGCTCACACATTGACCGTCCTAGCTATATTTAGCTTACTTCTACTTTATGTGGCCATATTTGAAGATGTTAGCCTTGATCCTGAGTATAATACTAAAAGGTAGGTAGCTGCCCCCCTCCCTCTCACTATATGTTCAGATGATGTGTTGGTCATAGGATCCATCGTTAGGCCCAGGCCTGTAGCCTGGGAGGGGTGGGGGGGATTCCCAGCAAAAAATTCTTTCAAAATTAGACAGTTTTCCATGAAATCCTCAGAAAATAGCCAAAATCCAACATATGACTGTCTGAAATCTGTTGCGATAACTTCCCTCCTCCTTTGTCAAAGTGAACCCCCTGGAAATTTTCTGAAAAGTGAACCACCTTGGCAATAGCTGGCTACTATATGGGCCTGAAGCCCCTTTTTACATGAAGAGGTGAAAGAGGGCAAGGGGTGGGTAAGGGAAGGTGTCATTGGTATCACAAATATTCTTTCTTTATTATCCATTTAAAATAGGATGAGAAATATAGATTGCCTCCATTCCCTGAAAAACAAAACCTGGGGATTTGATTTGAGTCTTAAAGGGCTTGGGTGAAACCAAATTAAAATGTGAGTGATAAGGGTCCATGAAAAATTCATGAAGTTATGAATTGTTTTAGATTGCATTTTATAGAAATCTTGTACATTTGTATTGTGTAGCAGAAATAATTTTACTTGGTCTTTAAAACATCAAATTACATGAAGTTGATTTATCTTAAAATAAACATCAATATTTTACAATGAATAATGGATCACAAAAAAATCATAAGGGATTAGATATAATATTGTGAAATCATGCATATGGATTCAAACTCCCTTGTAACTGAAATCGAATTTCCGTTTTGAAAATATTTTTAACCTTACGTTCCAAATACAGAATGTTTGCATATTTTCAAGGTGAAATCTATTTTGATCACGAGTGTTAAAACTGATCTATCCAAGAAGTTACGTCAATTGAGTTCATTCTGCATTTAACTGAATGATACGATATGACAAGAGAATGATTGCGAATTCCGATATTTCCAATCTAAATAAGATCTTATTAATTACATTCTCTTTGCTTTTTATATCAGGACATACTAACCAAATATCCTGTTACTCTCTGGGAATCTTCGCTTTGGAATTTCAGATACATTCCATAAAACGCCTAACATTTAAAAAACATTTATTGGTGTTGATAGGAAATCTATGGTGGATGAACTTCTAATGAGATTCAAGCATTTCTGATTTATCTTTATTTCCCTATAGGATTGTAGAGTTTGGGATTGGGGGGGGGGGGGGCACGGTCATGTTAACCAGAATTAAAATTTTCATACATCTCAAGTTTAATAATGATGGCTCAGATGGTATATTAGAGCTTGTATAAGTAAAAACATAATAATAATTGCAGAATACTTCACAATTTTTATATTGTTATGACCATTATTACAAATCTATGTTAAGCAATCAGTGTTAGCCAAAAATGGTTTTAATTAAGAAAAGATTTCATAGTACAGTTATAAAGGAAACTTAGTACATCTTGTACTTTTGTAAACAATATAACATTTTTCTCAAATATTTTTAAAGATATATGTACATTTACTTATTTCAAAAGATGAACACTTCTCTGAAAATGAACACTTTTAAAGGTTAACACTTCTATATTATATTAGTTTAGTGTTACTTAAATGTTCAGATGCTTACAAAAATTAACATATATAAAATTGTATCATTTTGGAATGAAAAAAAGGTAATAAATTTGAAAAATTAAAAAATATGGCAGATTAAAGATTTGAACATATATGGCACAGTGACGGATCTGGGTAAGACGGCCCAAAATTTTGTAGGGCCTCAAAAATGGGTCTTTCTGGGCATAATTTGGCCTTTTGGGCCAATTTATCAATAAATGGCCCTTAATTGTTCAAAATTTGGGCCTAATTTTTGGCCCCCATCCTTGTTCTGGATGCCCCACTGTGGCAGTTGACCTTTCTGTCATTAGATATCAGTTTCCCTATATGATTCTATCAACTACAAGGCAAGCAAACGGATATGTTGCAAGTGGCTTCATCATTGAAACTGTCAGACTTGATCAAACATCAATGGAGAATGAGAAATCGCTTAATGATTAGAAGCGGAAATTAGAATTGAATCACTCCGTAAAGTTTTCTACTAGATTTGCTTAATTCTCTACTCATCTGTCAAATACAGAGATCGGATTATGTCAATTAAATATACAATGTGAATATGAGACGTTCCTTTTGTTAGAAATGCTATTGTTACGGGCATAGAATTATGTTCTATTTTAATTACTGTATTCCCTCTAATGAGTGCACAGTGCGGTTTCCAAATTGAAATTCAAAAGGGTAAAATATTGAGAGAATCTAATAAACGCACATGCAAAAATATAGAAAAGAATTATTGCATATGATCTTTTAGTGGTTATCACTAAGGATTACATACTCTACAGCTCCTGTATTTCTTTCTCTGCATTATCTTGATAGATATCTTGTTATGTATATATTCAAAACTAATGCATTAAACTTCATGTTTTCTGAGACCATATTCAATATAGAAGTCACAAGTGTGCTCATGGGAACTATGTGCTCATTAGGATTGAATGCAGGGGCATAGCCAGGTTTCAGTCAGAAGGGGTGCGATCGCCAAAAAATTACGGGGTGCGATTGTGGCATAAACAAGCCAAAAAATAAGATTTATTTTGAATTTTACAAAAATTGATGCAACTTCCTTCAAAATTAAGTTAGAAGCTTCAAATATCTATCCTTTTAATGCAATCGCACCCCCCCCCTCTGCTGGCTACGCCTATGAAATGTATAGTCATACCTAGATTGTCAGAGCCTCGTACTTTATGCTCTGAATATAACTATTATAAAGGGTATATTACAGACAATGAATCACTTGAAGATTTGTCTAATTCTACATGTACAGGGTGGTCAAAAAAAATAGAAACCCTGCATTTTCCTAATATCTTTGTCATTTTAAGATATTACTCCCTGATATTTCACACATTTGAACATCATTCAATTTCCTACCACCCTACCAAATTTCATGACCATCAGACTGATAGTCTCAATTTTACAGCAGTTTGAATAACATGCTTCAATTTTGGCCATCATCGCGCTGTAGGCAAACATGCACAGTTGTCAATGGGCCGAATGCATTTCTCAGCAGGTATGGCCTGAATGATACGGATGATCTCACTTTTGAGGTTTGTGATTGTCCTGAGGTCATTCTCATACACTTTTTCCTTGCCATACCCCTACAGGTAGGGACATTTTGGACAGCGAGTGCAGGTGGCCCGACAGCACAATAGTGGCTACTAGGGCTGTTCTGTAAAGTGCTGTAACATTGTTAATATCAATCTGATGGTCATGAAATGAAGTAGGCTGGTAGGAAATTGAATGATGTACAGATGTGCAAAATATCAGGGAGTTATTTCTTAAAATGACCAATATATGAGGAAAATGGTGTAAGTGTTTCCATTTTTTTGACCACCCTGTACATCATTTATAATATCTTATTTTCTGTATATTGTGGATTATTTTTTGTCCTCTGTATATTAAAGATTGTTTCAAGCCATTTGTATAATGACGATTAATGTCATTTTCTGTATCGAGGATTATTCAAGTCCATTGTGTTTTGATGACTATTTTTAGTTCTCTACATTATTTATTTCTACATGTTTTTCTGTACTTTATTTCTAGAGGATTACTTGCAGTCCTTTGTGCCTTTGTGCTGTTTGGAGTTGTCCATACCCCAGATGGTCCATTTAGAAGACCCCATCCAGGTATGTATGAGGGGGTATCATTAATTAGTGAGAAAAGTGCCATACCTAGATGGTGTGCTGCATTCCCATATAGATTGATAAGTTAACTCTACCATATAGTGATTTGAGAGATTTCTATGTGATGTCATAACCAGTACCCTGGAGCAGTTATTATCCCATCGAACGAAGTTCTGAGGGATATAGGGAATGCCTCCGTCCGTCCGTCCGTCCGTCCGTCCGTCAGGGCAATAACTCAAATACCGTTGGCCTGATTTTGTTCATATTTTGTACACATATATCCTATGATGGTAGAAGTTCTGCTCGAAAGCCGATTTTCAAAATGGCCAGTCATTTAAAAATGGCGGCCATTTTAGTGCCAATTTTACAGTAATTTAGGTGCAATATGTAAAACTGTAATAGCAATATGGTTTAAATGTAAATTATTTTACTATAACTTGAAAAGTAGTGGCGCGATTTTGTTCATATTTAGTATGTGAATACTATAAGCATGGCATACTGTCTAATGACACTTTTGGTAGAAGTTGGCCATTTTGAAAAAATGGCCTCCATTTTTGCTCTATACTTTGTTTGTAAAAATGGCAGCCATGGCTGTTCGACGGGATTTGCTATGCTTTGGCGTTGCTGTTGTCCAGTCAATGTAAAAAACATCAGGATTTTACGTCGTATATTCATTGACTCAGTCTGCAGCCTGAAATGCTAGTCCATGGTCATAATTACGACATTGGTCTTATTTTACGACATAATATCGTAAATAATCACTTGTTTGAGTGCATGTTCAACTTTATAATTAAGTTTAAAATCCATTTCATATTGACCAAAGAAGCCGTCTACTCTATTACCTTACTGAGTCCTCGTTGTTATTTCCTTGTGGGACGCCCTGGGATGTAACGATTGTCGATGTCGATATTAGTCGCAATATGTAGAGTACTTCATGTATTGTAATGTATAATGTTCTTAAAGTTACTTAGTAATTCTTACTAGGTTTCAACTGTGGTCCTAATTATCCCACCGAACGAAGTTCGAGAGGGATATAGGAAAGCCGACCGTCCGTCCGTCCGTTCGTCCGTCTGTCCGTCCGTCCGTCTGTTTGTCCGGGCGATAACTCAAATACCGTTTCACGGATTTGATTCAAATTTTATAGGCTTATGCCTTATGGGTATAGGACCTCTGCTCGAGAAGGAATTTCCAATATATCCACTGAATTCAAAATGGCCGCCATTTTTCGTAAAAAATGTAATCTTTAGTAACTCAAATACTAGTTTGCGGATTTGGTTCAAATTTTATATGCTGATGCCTAGGGACACAGTAGATATGTTCGAGTAAAAATTTTCAAGATGGCGGCTAGATTTCAAAATGGCGGCCATTTTTCGTAAAAAAACTTAATCTTTGATAACTCAAATACCAGTGAATGGATTTGGCTCAAATTTTATATGCTGATGCCTAGGGACACAGTAGATATGTTCGAGTAAACATTTTCAAGATGGCGGCTAGATTTCAAAATGGCAGCCATTTTTCGTAAAAAAACTTAATCTTTGATAACTCAAATACCAGTGAACGGATTTGGTTCAAATTGTATATGATGATGCCAAGGGACACAGTAGATCTGTTCGAGTTACAATTTTCAAGATGGTCGCTGAATTTCAAAATGGCGGACATTTTTCGTAAAAAAAAACGTAATCTTTGATAACTCAAATACCAGTGAACGGATTTGGCTCAAATTTTATATGATAATGCCTAGGGACACAATAGATCTGTTCAAGAAAGAATTTTTAAGATGGCGGCTTGATATTGAAAATGGCGGCCATTTTTCGTAAAAAAGGTAATCTTTGATAACTCAAATACCAGTGAACGGATTTGGCTAAAATTTTATATGATGATGCCTAGGGACAAAGGAAAGAATTTTCAAGATGGCGGCTGAATTTCAAAATGGCGGACATTTTTCGTAAAAAAAAACGTAATCTTTGATAACTCAAATACCAGTGAACGGATTTGGCTCAAATTTTATATGATAATGCCTAGGGACACAATAGATCTGTTCAAGAAAGAATTTTTATGATGGCGGCTTGATATTGAAAATGGACGCCATTTTTCGTAAAACGTAATCTTTGATAACTCAAATACCAGGGAACAGATTTGGCTCATTTTTATATGATGATTCATAGGGACACAGTAGATCTGTTCGAGAAATTTTTTCAAGATGGCGGCTGAATTTCAAAATGGGAGCCATTTTTCATAAGAAAAAACGTAATATTTGATAAGTCAAATACCAGTGAACAGATTTGGTTCAAATTTTATATGCTGATGCCTAGAAACACAGTAGCTCTGTTCGAGAAAAAAATTTTAAGATGGCGGCTGATCTTCAGAATGGCTGCCATTTTTCATTTTCATTTTCGTAATCTTTAGTAACTCAACTGCCGTTCGGTGGGATTTGCTACTCCGTGGAGTTTCTGTTTTTCTAGTTATCTTATTTCTAATCATCTCATTTCTAGTTATCTCATCTCTTTTTATTGCCTGTTTACTCTCAATATAAATTTTCTCAACTGAACTTATGTGCACTTTGTATCTGTGTGTTTTGACCTCTATTGATTTAGCCTTACTATTCATAAGCCTATCTGTTATTACAAGAAAGTTCTTGTGAAGTCTGGACTACTCAAGATTGTGTCAGAACACAATAATTTCTTCAATTGATCATGCGCTTTCTGTTCTTGGTCTCCCCATGGTATTTTCACTGGTATGGATTTCTTGGTCAACTCGGTTAGGGGGGTGCAATTTCTGCATATTTTGGTACAAATTTCTGAAAATAGTCATTCCCAAAAATGTTCTCAATTTCTTCTTCGTTGTGGGTTTCTCCAATCTCTGTATTGCTTCTGTCTTCTCAATGCTTGGCTTAACTGTGCCACCTCCAACAATGTGACCCAGATATTCTACTTCTTCAAAAGCAAATCTACACTTTGACGGCTTTGCAGTCAAGTTGTGTTTTCTCAATCTTTCAAGAATGTTTTTGACATCATGAAGGTGTGAATCAAAATTAGTGCTGAATACAACCAAATCATCGAAATATGCATCAGAGTATTCCTCAGTTCCTTCAAGCATTTTGTCCATTGCTCTCTGAAAGGTGGCAGGTGCACCATGTAACCCAAAAGGCATTCTTATAAATTGGAATGTGCCGAAGGGAGTTAGTACTGACATCTTTTCTTTAGAATCACTACTAAGGGGATTTGCCAAAAACAGATCCATTACAGATATGAAAACAGCAGTGGCAAGACCATCGAGTATTTCATCTATTCTTGGCATAGGATATGCATCAAACTCTGTCACTTTATTCAAATCTCGAAAGTCTACACAACCTCGGAGTTCTCCATTTTTCTTTGGTACAAAAACAAAGTTTGAGCCCCATTCACTCATAGATGGTTCCATTATTCCCTTATATATCATTTTATCTACCTTTTCCTTCATCAATTCAATGTATGCCTTTTGAGGATTGTCTCAGCCTCTGTCTAACCGGTTTGTTGTCTTTTGGTGTTGATGTGATGGGTAATTAAGTCTGTAATTCCAGGCTCATCAGACAGCACGTCATTGTATTCATCAAGGAGTGTTTCACTTTGTTTTTCTTGCTCTTTAGGGAGATTTGGTGAAATGTTGAATTTATTTTCATTTTCTTTATCATCTATGATCAGCCATTGTATTGGCATGTACTCTTCTGCATCATCATTATCACTGACTTGGTCGCTGTCATTATTGTCATCTCCAATGCTGCGTAGAGTGAAACAGCAGAAATCATTAGGATTGTGATATCTTTTCAGGAGATTCACATGGTATGTTTTTGTCTTGTTGCCCATTTGTATGTCATAAGACTTTGTTGCATCTCTTTAAGATTTTAAATGGTCCTTGCCATTTTGCTTGTAGCTTCATCTCACTAGAAGGAACCAATAATAAAACTTTGTCTCCTGGTTTATATTCTATGTCACAAGATTTTTCATCATAGTAGGCTTTCTGGTTGTGTTTTGCTCTGATTACATTATCTTTCACTATCTCATGCATCAACTCTAATTTTTCTCTCATCTTTATGATATGCTCAATGACATTTGTAGAAACATACTTGTAGGGTTCCCATCTCTCACTCAGAACATCTATTGGGCCTCTCGCTTCTCTCCCATTAATATATATGTCAAGATTTAGGGACAAAAATTTATGTCATTTTAAAGTAAAGCTTTTTTTCTTTACAATGACGAGTTGAGAAATTTAAAAACATCCCACTTACTGAACTTTTAAACTTTTAAGGCATGTATTTTCAAAAAGCTTTACATTGGCGATATTCCATTACATTCTTGGACTTTGATTATTTTACGATTGAAAGTTGTGAACTTTTATATCAGGCATTTCAAATAGCTTTACATTGGACATATTCCTTTACATTCTTGGACTTACAATATTTTACGATCTGAAGAGGTGAACTTTTACAGCATGCATTTTCAAAAAGCTTTACATTGGCCATATTCCTTTACATTCTTGGACTTAGAATATTTCACGAAGCAAAGTTGTGAACTTTTTATGAAGGCATTTTCAAAAAGCTTTACATTGGCGAAATTCCATTACATTCTTGGACTTAGATTATTTTGCGATTGAAAGTTGTGAACTTTTATAGCATGCATTTTCAAAAAGCTTTACAATGGCAATTTTCCTTTACATTCTTGGACTAAGATTATTTTACGATATAGAGAACTGAAATTTATGGCATGCATTTTCAAAAAGCTTTACATTGGCCATTTTCCTTTACATTCTTGGACTTAGAATATTTTGCGAGTGAAAGTTGTTAACTTTTATAGCATGCATTTTCAAAAACCTTTACATTGGCCATATTCCTTTACATTCTTGGACTTAGATTATTTTATGATATATAGAAGTGTAATTTATGGCATGCATTTACAAAAAGCTTTACATTGGCCAGTTTACTTTACATTCTTGGACCTAAAATATTTTGCGATTGAAAGTTGTGAACT